CTGTTTCCAACTCTTGCTTTTCAGCAATCAACTAACAATGGAAGGTCGGAAATTGTTCAGCAGTAAGATTGACATTGTTTGGGTGAAATGATTACTCTCATCGAGAAACTAATGTATTTAAAATATAAGCTGCTGACGTCGTACCTGGACAGAGATATTCAACTTTTATATTATGCATTATTTGGGTATAGAAGCAGGATGTGGTTGCGAGTGTGGGTTTGACTTTAGCTGTGACTGTGGACTTTATTAAAGATTACACCCACCAAGAATAAACAAAATCGAATAAACCAATATGTCAGGAATCTGTAAAATTAGGAAAAACAATTTGTAAATCTCTAATAGTATCTCATATATTATTTTGTTTGATTTTTTTGCACTATAATTAAAGATTTAACTAGCTAGTAATATTTTAATACCTAGATTAGGTAATAAAAGTCAAAGACTAACCACTTGATGTATTTCATCAATATGAGGCAGCGTTAGAATAGTGCGAAAGTCTTGTTTCGTTTGGACTAACAATAAAATCAACTTGATTGAGTTTACGAAAACTTTGCATGTAGGTTTTTACGATGTGTCCAGTTTGAGTATATACTTGTGTAGTAATATTTTCGGTCCTGAATAATTTACTGGAATAGCGCCCAAATAGTTATCAACTGATACTGGTTCATTTTCAAAATCTCTTTCGTGCTTCCACATTAATTCTTTCATTAAAATCTCTACGAAAAGCATCATAATCGTTTCCTTTACCGGAAGCTAAAGATTTTAGATACGCTTGACGCTGTCCTTTGGGAAGTCTTTGCTAGAAAATAAAAAACTCTAATTTTAAAACATAAATAAACAGAAATTAACAATACCATATTTGTATTAATAGCTTCAGTAATTGAGGCAATATCATGAGATGAATTAACTTTTCCAACAAATTCAGGATCATTAGTGGTTTCTATCTGTATTAGATATAGACTTGTGAGCCTTTTTTCGTCTCGATGCATAATTTTTTTCCTCACATTTTTTACTATTGTGTAGAGAATCAAAAGTAATACAATATATCAAATATTCAGCTTGGGGAGTTTTACCTTTACAAATTTGTAACGAATATACTATCAAAAATTGACATTTTGGATTTATCAATTATCACCCACATTCACTTTCGATAAGAAAACTAGTACATCAATCAAAATTTGACGAACAATAGTTCATATAATAAAGTGTATGATTTGTTTTATTAATTAGCAAAATATTTATAGATTATTTAATAATATTTCATTAGTTCATTTGTAGAAAATGTCGTATACTTATTATGAATCGATTCATGAAATTAATAAATTCTTTCTTATATGTTTTTGATGGTTGTACAAAAATGATAAAAACAAGAGTAAGTGAGATAAAAGATGAATATAGACAAAATAGAAATAGATATGGTTCACGTATAAATTTCATACAACCTGAAAAAAAAAAGAAATAATTAGACGTGGTAAAACTAAAATAATTCATATAATAGGACTAATTAATATATGTTGAAATTCATGAAATTGTTTTTGAAGATGCTGTTTATAAGAGAGATATACTCGAATTGTTGAACGTTTTCGAGCTACTGTTATGTTGATAACAAGAGCCGATATGACATTAATGCAGAAAGGAATAATACAGTGACAAAAATCTATAATCAAATTATATATTCGAATAAATTCAGAATAATTAACCATACACTATGTACGTTGTTCTTCGATGTCATTAAAAAAACATCGATGAATTGTGGTAGAAATTATAAATATGAAAAGTATAATAATCACTCGTTTGGCTTTAGATTTGTCTTCTACTTTTTGAAAATAAGCCCTTTTTTTAAATAGTTATTTCTCGTTCTAATGAAATACATGCATTTAACCAATCATGAAAACGAAGAAAACCATGAGAAGCATATCTACACATGTACATTGAATAAATAAAAATGAACGATTAGAAATTAAAGACATTTGTACAAAAATAAGTAATCCAAACTTGACAGTTAACATACTTATGCTAATCGGTGAAATAATTGATAAAATGAAAACATAAAATCCATATGTTACTTGTCTAATATTAGCAGTTCTAAATGTCATGCTTGAAAGAAATCCATTCATGACACCCAATATAAACATGATCATAGTAATAATTGCAGAAATTTTAATAACATTTGACTGTTGAATAAGAGTAGCATAAGGTCGAATTAAATTTCCAAGTATAACATCAAGTGATAAACTTGTACCTTCGTTATTAATTGTCACCGAGTCTCATAATAACATTCCGTACATGCACATAAATACTTAGTAGGAGAAATATAATTATCTTGAAAACATTGATCATCATTCAAACAGTAATTAACACCTTGACAATTATAAGTCATATTATGATGAAATTCAAATCTTTCTTCATCACATAGACACATATGAATATTATCATAAAAACAGATTATATCAGATTGTTGTTGACAAGGTAACTGATAATATTTAAATATGTTGTACTAAATGTAATTTAACTATAGTAGAATTTAATAGATGTTCAATAGGTTGACTTCGTTGGGAAGCAATTAAATTAATATGAATATTATTTTTTTGATAAGATTTCGTTTTTTTTTAATAGAATGCAAAAAATAATTATCTTCATGAATACGTAGTAACCATATTTTGATGAAATAAAACTTTGATAAATGTTGTTGTACGTTCATGAGGTTTATCGCCTGGTGCATAAATAAAATGTATTAAGAATGATAATAGAATTTCGGTATCATAAAAAGAGACTATAATCTTTCTATCAGTTGTATCACATTGTTTATTAGAATAACTTTCTTTACAAATACAGTACCATTGATTATTCCTGCTACGTTCATCGAATAGTATACATTGTCCAAAATTTTTACAAATATCTTTAGAACAAATAGATTGCGTTAATGAACATTGTCCACCATATTTTCCAAGTGGACATACGTATACATATATTTGACCCAATGTAAAATGAATCGGATGAACAATTATATGTTTCATGTTTGATAGAACATCGTGAGCCTGACCAACCTGGATCACATTGACAAAAATCTATTTTTCTATTCTTATATTTTTTTTTACATTGACGCGCGTGCATTTTGCAATTTCAGAAATGAATATTGGAACAATTAATTGAATTGATAAACGATGAACAGGCAAAAATAAAAACTCAAGCGGATATAAACAACTAGTATGATGCTCTAAAAATATCGCATTCAATGCATCTATATGAACAGAATAAGGGTGTGAGTGTGGGTGTGGGTGTGGATGTGGGTGTGGATGTGGGTATGGGTGTGGGTATGGGTGTGGGTATGGGTGTGGGTATGGGTGTGGGTGTGGATGTGGATGTGGGTGTGGATGTGGGTGTGGTGTGGGTGTCGGTGTAGGTGTGGGTGTGGCGTCTCTCTTTACTCAGACTGACACCGACACACACTCACATTCAGACACACCCACACTCACACACACCCAC